TATCTAACAAAAGATCAACATCACCCCAAATGTCGCGTCGACAGTGACATTTTCGCAAGTGTACCCTCACAAGCAAATTCGACTTCCGCTGGGGGAAATAGTCGCACCTACCACTTGGTAAAATTATTCCAATTACTAAAATAAATGTTAAATCCTATGTTAATTAGGCATAAATTTCAGTAATTCCCGGTACCACGTGGTAGAAGGCCCTTCCCCTACGCCATTTCTTCCCCTCCCGGAAGCCGAATTTACTCGTCACTGTACCCTTGCGAGCAAACTGGGCTTCCGTTAGGGAAAAAAGTGGCGTAAAAGTAAGGGCCTTCTACCACTTGGTAAATTTAATTCAAGTGTTACGAGCCAGGGCTAAGCGAAAGTCGAGGAAATGACGAGTATGGTTTTTAAGTTTATTATGTCGATAAATCTCTGCCTATTTTATCACAAGGAGCTACTAAGAAAGATTTTCGTGGACGAAGCTGACTCTCTATTTCATCTCAGAGAGCCACTAGGATTGTTAGTATGGACCTCGTAACTTTAAGAATTCGGTACACTTTGAGCGGTAAAAGTGTGCCTTTTTGGGTTCGCTTCTAGCTGAGAATTTACATATTATTCTAAAGTTGAAATGAACAACACTGAATTATAAATATATAAATGTATATAAACTATATTCAAGTAAGTAAAGATTGTACAAAAATGTTAAATGTTAACATTTTCGGTTATCATGCACTGAGAAATGCGAGGGTTTGTTGTACAGAGTTTAGCTTACTTTTAAAAATGCTTGAATGGGACTTTAATACCCGATCTCCCTAACTAGACTTCTGGTATGAGTATGACTCGCTGATGAGCTGTACCTACGCATCCCTTTTTATACCCCGAAAATCGAGTCTAAAAGTAGTGGGGGACATGCCTGTTCTTCTAAAATCTGGCCACGCCATAACACCCCGTGAGTAACTTAGTAATCTGGCCGGATGCATTCCAACTCCGGATAGAGTTAAGACGTCACGAGAGTGTCTTCGTACGTAACACAAGTACTGAAATAAATGTTAAAATAAATGTTAATTTGGCATAAATTTCAGAAACTTTCGAAACCAAGTGGTAGGACGCTCTTTTCCTATGGCACTTTTTCCCTAGCAGAAGCCGAATTTGCACGTCCAAACCACACTGCTGGCGTACCAGTGAGCCGTGCGGAAGCTCGCGGAAGGTTGTAACGAACAAGTCGCCTCGTTTCCACACATAGCCGTGATAAATACTCCGAAAAACACTTATCCCGCGTGGGCGGGTGCCGCGATCCTGCGGTGTATACCATCCACCAGCGCGCAGGTATACTTTTCGCCGACCGTTGTACAGTTAGGCGTGACGCAACCGCGCGCACTCGGGGAACGGTATGAGATCCCAATTATCGAATGCTTCCGGTTTCTAAGGGTCTCGAGGTTTACGTGGAACAACGCCTAGCCGGGGTTCCCGGAGCGATGAACACTGGGACGAGATCCGTTTATGCGGCGAACAAAAGTTGATTTGCAGTCGTGCTTGGGCTTACCTCGGAATCACTCCCTAATTGAACGATACGTATCTAGTTAGGTGCATCTCCGCCACGTTCATAAATTTCCCTTTACAACGAGAAAAGCGTGTTGAATTAAACCGCGGCGACACAACAAGCATTTTTCGCGGGAGTTCGCATGAAAGACGAAACTTTCTTATGTTTGATCGAGTACTAGTTTTGTCGTCTGGTTCGGATTAACACGGGGTATCCGCGAATTGATACATGTTGGTTTTCCTATAACTTTGCTTAATTGTTTGTGGGGCCATCCTAGAATTTTGTTGCACTTAGCTGGTATTATTTTTAGACTTTGAGAGAGAAACCACCCTTTCTATTCGAAGTGTCTCTCATTACACTTATTTGCTTGTAACTCGTAAACTGCAAAAGATATCGCAAAAAAGTTTAGATAAACTTTATATCATTTCTAGTTGTCTAGATATCGATACGAAAAAATATTCAAAAAAATTATTTTCATTACAATAATTTTCAAAGAAATTATTATTTTGAAAATTTTTCCCTGTCAATATGTAGGCAATTAAGAATGATATAAAATTTATCTAACCTGTTTTTCGATATTTTTTTGTAGTTTACGAATTAAAATCGAATAAGTAAAGGGACGCTTCGGATAAACTGGATGGTTCCTCTCTTCAAGTGTAAAAGTAGCACCAACCAAGGTACGACAAATTTCTTAGGTTGATCCCACAAACGATTGAGCAAAGTGACAGAAAAAACGGCGTATATCACTTCGTGAATATCTATTGTGAGTTCTAGTCGAGTTTGAAAGAGTATTTTTTTCTTTTTAATATTTGCTGCACTATTACTGGAAATGTAGTATTTACTTTTTTTGATGCCTTGAGTTCGAGACATACCGCTTTTCGTATGATTCAATGTAAAGTCGCGTTTTTGTTTAGGGGGCTACCACTGTCTTTACCATCTTCGTACATTAGGTGAAATCAAAAACGTTTCAATGGATATATAATAATCAATAAGTATGTTATTTGAAATAATTACAAAACATGTTCATATCTAGCTCTCTAATAAACAAACTCCAATATCAAAAGTTTTATAAATGTAAAATAAATAATCTGTTGATTTACGTTTCGAAATATCGTTCTGGTAGTATTGGTTGTGTACTATAGTAGTACATATTTCTGACGTACGATTCCAATTTTTTTAATGATCAACGCAGATAATGACAGTAAAGGAGACATTAGAATCCTCGTTAGGCATTCATTGTACAAACGATCACGAGGAATCTAAACATCGTCGTACAAGCCCTCCAGAACAACACTTATCATACACTGTCCTGACACGGACAAACCATATGCAATGAATAACTTGGAAAGACATCCACTTCAAGTGTACCTGATGACGTTAACATCAAAGGCTACACCAGAGATACGGCCCTGACCACTGAAGTCATTCCACGTGTTATTGCGGAAGTGGTCTTTGAAGATCGTAAGAAACCGTCCGCGGTGATCCACGACGATCGGATAAGCCCGAGGATCGCGGTTGTAAAAGAAGTTTATAAGGCTTCAGATTATACGACTGTCACGGGCTATCTATCTTAGCCGATACATAGTGATTTCCGTTTTACAAAATGAAAAAATGAAAAGATAGCTCTGCCGGCTACCATTTGTCGTAAACAGATTTTTCCGAAAGTCGTTTATATGGAGAGTCTATGGATTTGCCGCTTAATACGTTTTGCCACCATGTATCAGATGCTTGCTGCGTCCCGTTTCTCGTGGAGGATTAACGTCCTGTATGTAGATACACGATAACAGTAATATTTTGCATACTTCATTAATGAAACGAACGATGTTCACTTTGGTAATGTTAATTCTGAATCTGTCTTGTTTGCAGCTGTCCGAACTCCAGATTGTGTAATTTCAAGTTATTTCGTAAACTCCTAATCTAGATATCCTGCCAAAAGAAACAAAATAAGTGGATCTTGTGTACATCATCTACCGGTGACTCATGTTAGAAAGCCTACCTAAGCTTTCCCTAATTGGAATATAAATCAGTCAGCAGTAGTGTTGTTGCAAAAATATAGATATCACTCTAACAAGAATTGACCAGAAGAAATGAAATTCTGTTTACCAGATTTAGGTTAGGACATATTAGATTAAACCATCAGTGTCTAATGGTTAAATCGGATTCATATTCTAGTTGGAATATAAAAAAAACCTTTAATACAGTGAACAAATTTTTTCGATTCAAGTTTCTGCGCTTTAGTCCATATATGTCTATATTTTTATAAATATGTCTCAATGTAGTTATAACATCTATGCGTCTTCTTCATTCAGCCTGTGTTATATGATATTTAGGTAAAAATTAGCAGTATAATGAGTAGACTTTCAAGAATGCCGGATAGATCTCTTGATACATAAAATATGTGAATCCAACTTTGATTGCATCAGATTCCGCGGAGATGGTCTCATTGGTAATTGTAAATTTAGCGCTATATTGGATTAAGGTAACCTGTTGTTACTGAATACGTTAACATAACAAAGTATAGAAACTGTTACGTTGTCTCTAATGAATCTTCCTGGAACTCCTATTATCGTCACAGAGATGAAAATGTTGTCATAGCTTGATGAGACAATACAAACAAAAACCGATACCGAGGTACAACGATCATGTAAGACCTGTCGACTGAAGTTGACTATAGTTGTCGATCTATCGAAAGAACTAGCATGCAAGAATAACTTATGACTAAACTGCGGATGTTTATGCATTTATCGCATCAGAATTATTATTAAGGTATCAGAACCAAGTCCTAGCATACAGGGGACATCAGTCAAGTATAACACACCGATTTTTACGTTGTTTGATACAGAGAGATAGTATTTCGAAAAATATTTGACAGGTATTTTTCTGTACTTGCTGACATCCATATCTAAAAGGTGAAAGCAGCCCTCAAAATCGTGGGTGAAAAATACATTTTCTTTAAGATCTCGCAAACTATTGGACTTAGAAAAAAGTTAATAAAAATCGAGTAGTTTTTCAAAATACCAATTTGTCAAAGAAATTTTTTTTATTTCTTAGTATTACGAAAAACTACTTAAGCTGTTATTTTTATTATTAAAAAAGATAATTTCTGTCAAGTAGTATCTTTTCTAAATCGAATAGTTTGATAGATATTAAGGAAAAATGTATTTTTCACCCATGAGCTTGAGACTGTTTTCGTCCCCAGATGTGAATGTCAGCAGCTACAAAAACTGCTTCTGCACCAAACAGCATAAAAATAAACGCGTTGCACTTGAGTAACATCCCTATAACATCCCTTCTTAGTCTTGGTCTAAAAGCCTACTCTAGATCTAGTCCAGAAAATATAGTTCCGTTCCATCTTGATTTCGACATAGTATCGTAGAAAATTCTGAATCTGCATAATCATCCGTAATTTACTCATGACGAATCGTTTCGCGAATTTCAGACTCGTTACAACAAAGAGAAAAACTCATACCTGATTGATGTCACTGCCTAAATCCCTGGCGCTCTTCGCGCTCCTCAGATGATTGCCGCGGTACTCCCTGTACCTCATCGTCACCTCGTCGTCGGTCAACGCGCCGCTGCTAGTGCTCCTCGCGTTCTTCTTGTTCTTCTCCTCCTTCGCCTTCTTCTCTTTCTTGCTGAACAGCTGCTTCACTTTGCTCATCGTTCCGCTCTTCTTCGCCGCCTTCTTCTCGTACTTTTTATCAGCCCCGGACGGCGGTTTCGCGGTTACCGGCGGCGACTTCGCGATGTCGTTCGAATACTTGTCGTACTTTCGTTGCTCGGACGCGGTCAGGTTCATGTTCCGATCGGTGTGCCGACGTTCATTCTTGATGAACTGCCTGGTGACGAAACCCTCGTCCTCGGACTCGATCTGCTCCCGTCTGTCCACCTCCTGGGAGTCCCGTCTGTAATCGTTCTCGATCCCGGAATCGGCGAGACGATCCTTCCGGTCCGAGTCGCTCAGCCGTGTCTCCCGTTGCCGGCGTTCGGTGTGCGAGCGCGTCTCCTGCCTGATGTGCCTGGACTTGCCGCCCTCGTGGAAAGCCCTCGGCGGCCTGGTGGGACTTTCGTCGAACGGCTCCAATCGGCCAACCGACGACGGTTTCACGCGTGGACTCTCTCTGGCGTCCGAGTCATCGAAGTAATCTAGTCGATTGCGCGATCTGCGCAGAGGCTTCTTTGGATCTTCGTCTAAATTCCGATGATCCGTTCTCAGAGTACGCGAGCTCTCGTCGTATCGTGTCTCGCAACGAATCGAGTCTCTGGCGGTCGTGTCGGAATCGTAACGGCTCGAGTTGTAGCCACCGCGATCGGTGCGTATTCTAGGCGGTGAGCTGTCGTAATCGTCGTGAATCGGGTGGTTGCTGCTGGTGTATCGTTGAGTAGTGCGCTGCGTTTCTTTGTAGTACTTCGACTCCAATTGGCTGTTGGTCAGTTGGGATATATCGGTGTCGTAGTCGTCGTTTGGACCTTCTCTGAGACTATCCAGATGGCGTTTGGTGAACGGTGATCTCTCTTTCCGGTCGTTTATCGCGGGACGCTCTAGAAGCGGTCGACGCATATCTCTGGCGTTCACGTAATCCGCGTGGCTGGTCAGATTCTCGTGTGACCTGGTCGTGTACTCGCTCCTTAGCGCTCTAACTCTCGCGTTCTCACCGATCTCGTCCAGTCGTTGCGTCGATTTGCTCATGCCGCGTTTCGACTCAAAGTTCTTCTTCTTCGGTAGGTAAGCGTCCCTCGGTCTCGCATCGCGGTCCAAGAAGTCGTCGCTCTTCGAGAACTTTCTCTCGGTGGTGGTGAACTTGTTCGCGACAATAGGCGATGGGAGGATGTCGTCGTTGTTCTCTTTGGATTCGCCGCGGAAATGATGCGTAACGACGGCGGGCTCGTCCTGGTGGAAACTGGACACCTTGTACGGGCTGCTCGTGCCCCTGATACCCTGGAACCGTTGCTCCGGACTGGTCCTGCTTCGATCGCCGTGGTAAGGCTTGAAATCGTCCGTATAACCTTCGTGCTTTCGCGTCTCGACGATATACTTATCCCCGTATTTGTCCGTTCTGGTCTCGATGGTGTAACCGTCCCTCGGTTTCGGATCCACGTAACCGTCAGTCGGGATTTTGTTGATCTTCTTCTCGTAACCGTACACCTTGCCGTTATCCTCGTGTATCTCTTTCTCGAATATGTACTTCTCTCCGTTGCTGTTCGTGCGTGTCTCCGTTATGTACGTGTCCATGTACCGTTTTGGGGACGCGACGCGATTCGGCGTAACGGGGGACGGTACAATTGGCTTATCGATGATCTCGTGCTCGGACTTCTTGATCGGAACGTTCGCGCTGTTCTTCGCGGCGAACATCTCGTCCGCCAGCAGCCTCGATTTGATCCTGGACTCGAGTAGATCGCGTCTTGCGCTCAACTCGGACGTCTTGTTCGATATACCGGACTGTGATTGTCTCGGATGGAATTCGTTGCTCTCCCGTTGCCTGGCGTCAGTCCCGTCCGCTCTGCCTCTGCCGGATGTATCGACGAAAACCGTCGATGTGTACTTGTCCGGTTTCTCGTATAGCCGTCGATCGATCTCGTCGAAATCCTGACGTCGTTTCGCGTCCGGATTTCTAGACGGGTAATCTTGCGCGGCGGTGTAGCGGTTCGCGAAATGAGTCCCGGTGTTCTTCCGGTTCTCCTCGTACCGGGATTTCAACGTATTGATCTCGTTGTTTCGTCGTAGATCGCTGTTGTACGAGTAATCCGTCCTGCGATACTCTTTTTCCGCGGGGCTGTTCTCCCGCGAGGAATCCTTTCTCTCGAGACCGAGTCCCTCGTCACTGTCCGAGTGACTTCTCTGCGTCTTCTTCTTATCGGTCTGCACCTGAGCGTAAATCACATTTGTCTGCGGAGGCGGCGGGCTACAGGATTCGTTCGGTCTTGTGTACGAGAACGGCCGGTTGTTGTTGTGTCCGAAACCTGGCCCGGGCGAGACCATCGTTCTGGTCAGCTGTGGCGGCGGCGAACGGTCGTTGGATAATCGGTGAATCATCTTGTGTATCGTTGACTCTTCGTCGCGTTGCTGGAGATCGTATCGGCTGCTGTGCAGCATGCTACTTGTACCGACCTTGTCTACTTCGTCGAGCCCGGCGTCCTTTACCGGTGAAGGGGTCCGCGCCGCGTTCTCCTCTTTCCTTTGTTCCCCCTCCCCGTTGATCTTGTTATCGTCCTCTAGCACGATGGGTATGCGTCGCACGGTCGCCTTGTTCTCCCTTCGGGGCGATATCGGTGGCTTGTCGATCCTCTCTTTCGTCTCGTCGTGGTTCTCTCTCGTTCCTGTTGCTTCTGTCACCTCCGTTTCGGCATCGATCACCTCCTGCTTCGACTTCTTCACTTCCGGTCGACTGGTGTTCTCGTTCACCTTACCGAAGTGAAACGGCTGCTGATCGACGTGCGGCGACGCCTCGATTATAGGCGACAATTGCTTTTTCGCGTGATTGGTGCTCAGATGGGAACCCTCGCTCTCGCTGCCGCTTCTCTTGCGATGCGATCGCGTCGTAGTGCCCGCGTCGCTAGCGCTACGACCGACTGGCTTCCGCTTTCTCTCGAGCTTCGGGGAGAAGAACCTCGCTAGAGTGCCTCTTAGCTTCTTCGAGCTGGCATCGCTGACACTTCTCTGCAATGCTTTCTTCTTGAGCCTCGGTGAGCTCTCGACGAGGTCTCCGCTCGTCGTAGCCCCGATCTCCTCGCTTCTGCGTCTCACATCGAGCGGCAGCTCCGGCCTCTTCTTGTTGCGACGCGCCGGTAGTGTGCTGAATCGGCCGGGCAATCGTCTGTTGTCGTGGGCGACGCAGTGAAGGCTGCCCGCTTGTTGAAGCACGAGGGCCGCCTCCTGTGCTAGGTCCTCCTTGCTCCTCGACGCTATACTCTCTTTATGAACGGGTGTGGCGATTAACCTGCCTTCGCCATCTCCTGCGAGTGCCGCGGTCACGCGGTGTGCCCCACGTCCTGGAACAGTCGGGAAAATAACGCCTGAAATGAATAATCGATCTATAGGTTTTAATTCAGGTAATATTAGGTCAATGAATGGACGAAATGACGGTTGGTTTAACGAAGCTTCAAAGGCAGCTCTTAGTCGCCCGATACAAATCAGTTTAATAGAATTTATAACGTTGGTATTAGTTTGTTATAAGCTTATTAAATGCGTTTAAACACGGTGTGTCGTGAGTACACTAAGCGAGTGTATTAAGCAATCAGACGTTTAATAGGCGAGGATCGGAATACTATGACAAAAGGTGCCGTAAATATTTGTGTTCTAGTAGTGATTAGAATATTTTACTGTATTATAGGATATATAAGACGTAATAAATTGCATTTCTTCAGATATTCTTTCTTTCTATTTTAATATACAGGGTGTCCCACGCAACTAGGCCAAGTTATATCTTTAGAACGGTAGGCGGTAAAATAAAATGTGACTAAATTCAACTAAATTTTTCCGAGCTAATCTTTTTTTATACGTGTGCCTTAGTACGATTTAAAAAAAAATGTAAAAAATCATCAAGTGATGTCTACAGAAATATACACTGAGCGTCAAAATTAAGAGACCACTAAAATTTGCCGAAAATATGGGTCATTTTCAAATGACTATATCTCCTCGAAAAATAGTTATAAAAAATATTGTATACGACCATTTTGTAGCCTGAAGTTTCTGGTTTTTGGGAATCGGGAATTCAAAAATTATTTTCACGGAGTATGTTCCATCGTTTTAAAGATGAAGCGCAGCAAGCGAATGTTAAAAAATGTTGGTCAACTTTGAGAGGATGCGTGGGCCAAATAAAAGTTTTTCTGGTAATCCCAATGGAACACTTTTAGAGAGCAAACTTTTTTCTTTAATTTTCTTTTTTTAATTTTGTTGTACAGTTTTTATTGTCTGAGTTATTCGTCATCACATGAGAAAAGGAACGTTCCACTTTGAGCGCCTGTAACTTGCGAACGCATGATCGTATAGAAAATTCCAAAAGAATTTTGGAAAGCAGAGAGATTTCTCTTTAAAGTCCTTCAGTTGCCAATTTGTTGAAAATTTCCTTCGTCGTATACAGTCCATTTAAAAATAACGTAAAATATTGCATAATTACCATTTTTCACAAAACACGATGCCATTTCAACAAAAATCGTGGAATCTTCCATGTGTCCACGTTTTTTTCAAGTTAAAAGTACACGTAACCCCTGTGCCAAAGGCCGAGCTGATCAGATTTTTTTTACCCTATGCCCTCGATAGAGAAACTTGCGATATGGTCTGAAAAATTGGTGAATGACTCTTTTGCGGTACGTTTCCTCTTTAAAACGATTTCGCAGCGCTTGAACTGTTATGGTCTGTTTTTTTTTAGTTTCACTTTATTTTAGAAGAAAGGAGAGATTTCACAAATTTAGCAAACACATTCCTAGCCAATCTCTTCGCAATGACAAAAAGTGCACAATGCGAAGCGACGAGAGAGTGCAGATGCTGTGTACATTCTACCCTTCCTTAGTTATTGTGATAGATGCACTCTTTTTCTTACTGAACTTAATTTGCTTTTTTTTACCGAACTTCTTCCTTTCCATTGCATCTCCTCGCCGTGTAATGAGATGAGTACCCTGGCATCTGCCAGCGAGACGTCCGCTTGTAACGTTAGTACTGCGCACCGTCGGTATTTCCGACTTCCACAGTATTTTTCGATTCCAAGCTCACTCTCCGATGCGTGCGTGCGTGCATGTATACGTACGTTGTGTTCAATAATAGGTAGTACTGCCTCTCCGGTCTATTACTTCTTTTAATCAGTTTGCGCATATTAATGCACCTCCTTATGATGGATTGTGGTATTCTTTGCCAAATTTGGCGGAAGGCGTGATGCAACTTCTGCAAGATGAACTCTAATGAGTCTACCCACCCATGCTCGCGGCTCGTCTTATCAAGCCACGGTTCGCAAACCTTGACTGCGAGAATTGTCGCGTCGCCGCGGCCACCTACCGACGGTGCGCAGTACTAACGTTACAAGCGAACGTCTCGCTGCAGATGCCAGGGTACTCATCTCATTACACGGCGAGGAGATGCAATGGAAAGGAAGAAGTTCGGTAAAAAAACAAAGCAAATTAAGTTCAGTAAAAAAAAGAGTGCATCTATCACAATAACTAAGGAAG